CTTCATGAGAACAGCGGTGGTGGTGGGGGGGGCAGGCAGCAGCAGCCCCTGGGAAGGTAAGAGCAGCGCCTTCTTTCTCTAGGCGGGGAGGAAGCCCGTTTCGCGGTGCCACCGCCAGCCCTTTGGTGAATGAGGCAGGCGGCAAACCGAGAAGGCAGCTGGCGCTGGGGTTGTGGGGGGAGGACTACTTGCACCCCTCACAGTGTGCATAAGAATTCAGTGTTTATGTATATATATATAAAGTCATACCTCGTTACGTTTGCTTCATGATACGTTTTTTCAGGTTGCGTCCCGCGGCGACCCGGAAGTACCAGAAAGGGTTACTTCCGGGTTTCGCCAGTCGCGCATGCGCAGATGCGCAAAACGACGTCATGTGCATGCGCAGGAGCGGCGAATTGTGATCCGCGCGTGCGCAGACGCGGGTTGCGTTCCTTTCAGGTCGCGAAGGGGGCTCTGGAACAGATCCCATTCGCAACCAGAGGTACCACTGGAGAGAGAGAGAGAGAGAGAGTCCGGCCCTCCACAAGGTCTGAGGGACCGGCCCCCTGCGGAAAAAGTTTGCTGATCCCTGGTTTAGGATGAGAGTTTTCCTAGACAGTTACCTAGATGGGGCTGATGAACCCCACCTGCCCCTCACTTCCCTCTACAACCTGTGCAGAATCCGCCTTCTTGACCTTTGGACCCACTCTTAGTCTGGTCCGCTCCATCTGACTGCAGGGTGGGACCCAAAGGTGGACAAACGACCCCAGAAGGAGCATGATGTGTCACCCACCAGATGCACGACCCCTCCCCTAACAGCACAGAGTCTCTGGAGGGCATCAGCTTGGGGGAAAAGGTGTCAAAAGGGAGCCATGTTATTTTCTGTGGGTCCACTAGGAGGGGGTAGAAACCAATTTTCTGGTTTCTGATCCCTGCTGGCATTGAGTTTACAGACTCTCTCGACATAATGGCTTGCTTATATTGTATATACCGTATTTTTTGCTCTATAAGACGCACCAGACCACAAGACGCACCTAGTTTTTGGAGGAAGAAAACAAGAAAAAAAATATTCTGAATCTCAGAAGCCAGAACAGCAAGAGGGATTGCTGCGCAGTGAAAGCAGCAATCTCTCTTGCTGTTCTGGCTTCTGGGATAGCTGCACAGCCTGCATTCGCTCCATAAGACGCACATACATTTCCCCATACTTTTTAGGAGGGAAAAAGTGAGTCTTATAGAGCAAAAAATACAGTACTTGAAGAGTTTTACAAGAGCAGTCAGGCCTAGCCCTTCTGATCAGAACTGGCCTGGCATCCAGGATTGTGCTTTCATCTCATGATGCTGCCTTGCAAATGAAAGATGGCATAGCCCCTGTGTGTGGTCTGCCTCTGCTTTTGATTCACAGAACTGTCACGCAAGACACGCACGCCTTGCAGGGCAACAGCCGCCTGCTTTTGCTGTTCGACTTTGATGTGCCTCAGTAAATCAGCCACACCCCAGCACAACCAATCGGGCAACATCTGTGCATAAGGAAAATGCCAAGCTGATTTTGTGCGACAAACTCGGCTTTCAATCACAGCTCTACAGTAAATCACAGCCCTGCCCTGACCCCAGTTATGGATAAAGGCACATTAAGCCCTTTTGCACGAACATGAATGCAACGCTCCATTCTCCACCCTCTTCCCACAGAACCAGAATGGGAGAAACATCTGACACAGCTATGGTAATGTTCTCTGCTCATTTGGGTCTTTCCTTGGAGGTTTTTAAGCAAGGTTGAATATAGTGGGGTAGGAGAACTGAAAAGGATGCCAATATATTTCACATCTGGCAACCAGTGGGCCCCTTTGGTTTCATATGGTACATGGGTGAAATTTGGTATACTGACCAAATTAAGCTTCCCCATGTATAATTTGATCTAGGAAGCTTAGTTTGGTGAGAATCCAGTATACTTCTTGTCAATGAGCTATCATAGCTGCCAGAGGGCTGTGAAAATTTGTGTCCTGGGGTTTTTAGACTTGTCTACCCATGTACTTTCTGATACCGAAATGGCACATTGCTTGCTAGATGTGAAATATTTTTCAGCTTTTCCAACCCACTAACATCTCCTGCAAACCAGGTGCGTATTCTGTGTGGTGCAAATAAAGTGCTTGTTTCCACTAAGAGGCTGGGTGAAAGCACGGCACTATCTGTTCCAGTGATTCAGAGTGCAAACTCTGCGCTTTTGCTAAAGGACAACACAGGCATGAAGAAATCAAGAAAACCATGTGTGAATTAAAGATGTCAGCTGAATCTGGCCAAAGATGGGGACTGCGAGGTTCAGTGCTAGCAGCCAAGACAGCACAGAACAGCACAAGATATACGGTATACGATATCTTTATTGTCATTGTCCCATGCAGAACAATGAAATTGAAAAACTACATAAAACTACATAAAAACTACATAAAACTACTATAAAACTACATAAAAACTACATAAAACATTCAAAAACCCCTAAAAACTCTGAAACCCCATTTTATAATGTAATATTTATTGGTTTTACAAAAATTCCAAAACATACAAAAATACGGGATTTCAAAGACAAAAAACAACAATAACAGTGACAAAAGGAAAACAAAAAATAACAGTAACCATAAAAGAGAAAGACAAAAGAGAAAAAGAAAAAGAAACAGAAAAATTTAAAAATTTATACTTTCATTTAACCTTCTTATCTTTCCTTGGTTCTTTGACTTCCCCGCACCTCCCCACTTGTATTTCCTTTTAAAAACTCCTTTCAGCAAATCCTTACCCTCCTTCCTTTATCTTAACTCAAGAAACTTAATCTATTTATATATAGATATTTTTACAACCTTATCAATCAAATATCCCATGCTCTTAAACGCTAGGTTTTTGCCAATACCAATTATTTTCAATCAGACCTCAATTTAACATTCATTAATTTTATAGTATTTCTGTAAATAGTCTTTAAATTTCTTCCAATCTTCTTCCACCGACTCTTCTCCCTGGTCACGGATTCTGCCAGTCATTTCCGCCAATTCCATATAATCGATTACCTTCATCTGCCATTCTTCCAGAGTGGGTAAGTCTTGTGTCTTCCAATACTGAAACCCCATTTTAAAATACACTATACTATAGAGACCCCTTATGCTGTGTTTAGAACCAGAACTGCATTTGTGTCGAAACTGTTTCTCAGGCAGCTAGTCCTGGCCTTTATAACCCTGTACCTTCTTCCAGAAGGCAGAAGCTGAAAGAGATCATTTCCGGGGTGCGCACTGTCCTGCGCTATCTCTGCCGCTTTCTTGTGGCACTTGGCAGCATAGATTTGATCTAAGGTGGGAAGAGTGCACCCAATTATTCTCTCCCTGGATAGCATTGTTTTTTCCCTGGCCATGCAGCTCCCAAACCACACACACAAGTTTGTTCCCTCGGGCCTGAGCAACAAGTGGTGTGTGCTTGATGTTGTTTTCTGCCATTTCTCATGCTGTTAAGACTTCGCATCTGTGATTTGGCAAGAAGTGGGATTGATGGGATGTCATTTGTCCAACAAATTCCCCTAGTAATTGCCAGTTACTTAGGTTTTCTGAATCCAGAGAGCGTTTCTTGAGAAGATCTGCCTTCAGCATGTGCAGAAAACACCCTCGACTGTTAGAGCCACTCTTGGTCTCATCTGCTCAATCTGTCAGGGCCTTTCTGGCTACCTGGTTTGGGTAGCCAGTTGAAACCATTCCTGGAGTGCGGCTGACAGCTTCTAGAAGCCACAGGTGAGAGCGGAGTGCAGCGTGGGAACCAAATGTGGACAAACTACCCCAGAAGGAGCACATGTCCTCCACCAGAGGTGCTACCCCTCCCTTAACACAGCCCCATAAACCCCAAACCTATTTGCCGAAACCTGGGTGGTGTACATGAAAATATGTTGTTGTTGTTGTTTAGTTGTGTCCAACTCTTCGTGACCCCCTGGACCAGAGCACGCCAGGCACTCCTGTCTTCCACTGCCTCCCACAGTTTGGTCAAATTCATGCTGGTAGCTTCGAGAACACTGTCCCACCATCTCGTCCTCTGCCGTCCCCTTCTCCTTGTGCCCTCCATCTTTCCCAACATCAGGGTCTTTTCCAGGGAGTCTTCTCTTCTCATGAGGTGGCCAAAGTATTGGAGTCTCAGCTTCAGGATCTGTCCTTCCAGTGAGCACTCAGGGCTGATTTCCTTCAGAATGGATAGGTTTGATTTTCTTGCAGTCCATGGGACTCTCAAGAGTCTCCTCCAGCACCTTAATTCAAAAGCATCAGCCTTCTTTATGGTCCAGTTCTCACTTCCATACATCACTACTGGGAAAACCATAGCTTTAACTATACGGACCTTTGTTGGCAAGTGACAATAAAGTATTTCAATTCTAAGTATGCTACAGGATCACAGCCTTGCTTGGAAGTATGTTCCACTGGAACGAATACGCCACGCCCATAAAATGTGATTATGTTTGCCGAGGGCTGTGAAAAATCAGAAGTTGCAGGCTGCCCTGCCTGACATTCCTGAGTTTTGCCCATGCAATGTCAGATCAACATCCAGAGAACCGCAGACTGTGCCATCCTCGCTCTCTGCGTATCCCTCGGGCCACGTTCAGGCATGGTTGGCTTTTAACACGCGTTCGGGTCATTTAGGAGCCTCCGGCTCCCACCGCTCAACTGCTTAATGTTGCAGAACCAAAGTCCTTCCTTCCTTCCAGAATGTTCCCGCTAATTGCTAATCAGGTGCTTTTAATAAAATAACAGCCCGTAACCCTGTCGATTATCCAAGCTCTTTTTTTCTTCTGCGGGCCCGGAGACACGTGAAACCCTCGCTTTGCACCTGCGAGCCGTGGCCTCCCCGTGTCGGGTCGCGACGGGGTTGGGACGATACCATAGCAGGAAAAGGGGGGGGAGGAAAGAGATGCAGTTTTCTTTTGCTGCTTTTTCTAATTAATGGTCTCGAGCGGCCGGCACAATCGTGTAACAACCGTGTCTCTTATATGGAGGAGGTGGGGGCGGGGGAGCGAGATGCGGAAGAGGGAAGATGGGAAAGAGGGTGGTTTCCCCCATTTCCTGCCTCCCCTACTTTCGCGGTCACAGTGGTGTCGTCCGAACGTCGCGATAAAAACCTCCTTGCTGCAAGGTTCCGAAGTAGAACGTTGGAGGCCTGAACTGCGTGTGAGAACTGCTCCTCCCCTGCTGCTGGTTAGAGCCGCAGGGTCCAGCCGTCGCCATGCATGTCAAAATCAAGGTGGTGTATTGGTAAGAAGCCATTGCAAGGAAAATATATATATTATTGCTGCTGCTGCTGCTGCTGCTGCGGTTATTGTGCTCCTTTCCGCCTCCTTTTTATTCGATTGCTGGGAACGCTGTTCGTCTGAACGGGCCAACGGGCCATTCCTTAAAAGGCGAACAGATTTTTTTATTATTGCATAAGCTTTATGCTGCTGCATCATCCATTTGCATCGTGCATGTGGCGAAGGAGACTCGAGCCCGCCATAACCCCGCAAGGTTCCGCGTTGGGGTTTGCTGCCAAGCAAGCTGATGGCGCCACGCCTCTCGAAGTCGTTTCCTTCGTTGCTGCGGTGGTGATCTTGCTGTTATTTCTAGAGCTCTCCGTCGACGACAGTGAAAATGGCACAGGATGCCGGTTTCTCTGCCCGGGGGCGTTTGGGTAACCTGGGGAGGGAGGTTCCCATGGGACCTCTTGAAGGTTGGTGGTTTCGTCACTTGATATGGGTGACCCATCGGTTTATTGCAACGTGAATTCTGGATTTTGGACTTTCATGCATTTTGATTGCAAATTGGCCTGATTTATAACTTGTTATATAATCCAGACAGAAGTGTACTAAATGCCTCTATTAATGTGCAGCTTTGCTGAAATATTTATAGTGCTTTCAACGTTATTCAGGATTTTTATTTTTAAATAAGGGAACACATGGTATCTGATTGCAGAAGAGCAGTGATTGCTGGAAAGCATGTCTCACAAAGATTTGGGCTACCAAAAGGTAGTAGCAGTAAACTCAGGATATTCAGTGGTAATGCGAGTAAAGTAGGTAACATGAAGCCAAGGTTTGGGTAGCCGCACTTCCAGAAACGTAGTATTGAGGATCCCTATCACATGACAGTTCAATGTGGTGTCCTTTTTGCCCAGAGAGAGCATTGAGTGGCGTTGCTCAAACTTCTGTTCCTTCAGCAGAAAAGTAGCGGACAAATTTTGACTAAGCAAACTTCGGAGCACAGTTGGCTAATCCTGGCAGCCGATCTGGCAAGAGTTCATTAGTTTTGAGTGACTGTTACAGGTTGCCTCTGATGCGCAGGCAGCTCAAAACAACTCCCTTGTATGAGCACCAGATCACTGGATCTTTTCTGCTAGAGAGCAAGTCCCAAGTGTTTAAATGTAAGCCTCGAGCCCCTCTGATGTCCGGCTGCAGGTGTCAAAACAGCCAGGAAAGCAAAGTTGGAAGAGGTTAAGGAGAGTTAAAGATTAAAATCAAGAATTATTTTGGGTTGAATTTTAAAGCCCAATGACCCGCTTGCACAGGCTTTAGGCCCCACTTGTGAGTCGTGACCCACAAGTTGGAGAAATGTTGGACCAGCAGAGTCCACTTCTTCAGACTGATGCGAGCAATTTTGTACAGTGCTTGACATGAATCCACCGTTGATGTCCACATTCCCACAGATAGACAAATGAAGGTCCCCATGTTAAGCTGCTCATGATGTGTCACTGGCCGGTTGTCTTCATAAATGTAGCTGTCAGTGGTCATAGGGTAATTCAAGAAATTCTTTGCTCACCATAAAAAAGAAAACCCAAGCAAGGGGAATGTTTATTAGAAACTTGGAGAATTATAAAACTGAAAATGGATCCCCAAACTTTCCTTGTTTTTAGTGGCTTTCTCTTCTTTACTAAATGGGACACGGGTGGCGCTGTGGGTTAAACCACAGAGCCTAGGGTTTGCCGATCAGAAGGTTGGCGGTTCAAATCCCCGCGACGGGGTGAGCTCCCGTTGTTTGGTCCCTGCTCCTGCCAACCTAGCAGTTCGAAAGCACGTCAAAGTGCAAGTAGATAAATAGGTACCGCTCTGGCGGGAAGGTAAACGGTGTTTCCGTGCGCTGCTCTGGTTCGTCAGAAGCAGCTTAGTCAGGCTGGCCACATGACCTGGAAGCTGTACGCTGGCTCCCTCGGCCAATAAAGCGAGATGAGCACCGCAACCCCAGAGTTGGTCACGACTGGACCTAATGGTCAGGGGTCCCTTTACCTTTATCTTCTTTACTCAACTTCAAATGTTGCTCTGAGGTCTGCAGATGTACTTGGTCATAACGTTTGACAATGTGGGGCTCTAGCCAGCTAAGCACCTGTTTAATGGTTCTATTCAGTGGCGTGAAAGAGAGCTTTTTGGATCCAACACCTGATCTCGCTGACATATAAACTGTCTTCTACCTCCCGCTTCTGAGAGTCTTCCTGAATATGCCTGTTTGAGGGGCTGTAGGCATTGTCTGGTTTAACCAAGGCTGTCTGTGATGTTTCACCTCTTGGAAGCAGCACACAGGGCTCTTAACTTTGCCCTTGGATTCAGTATCAAGAAAAGCTATACTTGTTACAATCTGTTAGTCAACCTTGTAAATGAGTCCACAAAATTTACCAACCTGCCACTTTTTAGCTCGCCTGCTCTTTCACGCTAGCCATGGAGGGCATCTGGAAATCAGAGCATCTTTAGAGAACTTGTGAAAGCTTGTGGAACGCCGTCTCCCAACATTTAGCATCCTAAATCAGAAGAAATATTGGGGGGGGGGGGAATAAACACAGATCTAGAAGCTGTGATGGAACAGCAGAATGGGAACCAGTGGATTGAAATTTTAATGGGATCAAAAGTTGTAGGACCCATCAAAGTTATATTCCTGGCTCCATTTGATTGCTAGACAGAAGGATTGCTGCTTAAGGGATCTGGCTAGTTGCAGGTGGCCTGGTGACTACAGAAGCCAGTTCATGGCCGGTGGGTGGAGATTATGGGAGTTGTAGCGCAGCCACAATTTCCATCTTTGCTTTGTGCTAAATGTGATGTCGCAGTAACGCTTGCTTTTCCTTTTCTTGTAGTGGGGCCTGAGGATACAGTCCCAAGGTGAGTAGATCCTTCTGCCTGATATGTAGCAAAACCACTTAACATCCTGGTCTGCAGCCTGGCTGAAAGAACCAAAAGTAACTGCTGGTTGGATATGGCGCAGCGGTAGTGGCAGTTAGCGCCGGACCCAAGCAGTATTTGCTAGCGCAGTAGTCATGCCTGTATTAGTGCACCACATATTTCGCTTCCAGGGTTTCTAATGTTGGCAGGGAAGATCCCCTCGAATTGCTCTGGATCTCTCTGCATCCTACAGAACATGGGAAGCTGCCTTATACTCAGTATTGTTGACATTGACTGGCAGTGATTCTCCAGGGTTTTGGATAACGTCTCTCTTCCAGCCATACCTGGAGATTTCAGGGATTGATCCTTGGATCTTTAGCACTCAAAGATGTGCTCTGCTAAAGAACCACAGCCTTTCTCATGGCTTGCATGTGCTAATTGAGCACAGGGGTTGAGTCTGAGCTGTTGGCAATGCAAAGGTCTTGGCCTTCCTCCTCTCCTGATTCTGATTCTGGACTGCTTTCTGCCACAGATTCTCCCTGCTCACTAAGCCCTGTTACCTCTTCAGCTTCTGACACCTCCTTTTCCTGGGCATCTCCCTTTGACCACTCATCATCATCCCACCACCAGACCGCAGGCTCTGAGCCTTCTTCCCTTGGGGTTCCCCAGCTGGTCTCTGTGTCCAACCAGTCCATGAGTGCTTAGGGAGGGCTTTAACTTTCTCTGATAACCACAGCTGTGAGTTGATGTTTCGGAACTCTTAAACAACTTCTCCCTCCTCCTCTTAACTTGTAGTATCAGCAGCTCAAGAAGGAACTCGAAAAGGAGTTTCCGGGCAAGCTGGAAATGGTAAGTAGATCCGGGTGCTGCTGGCACAAGTCGTCTCGCTGACCTGTGACCCGTGCGATTTAAGCAGCAGGAAGGGAAGGAATTTGGCATTTCAGTTGCCTCTTAGCGTGGGATGCAAGATACACTTTAACTCAAGGCCCTCTGGGGCCCGGGCCCTGACACACACACACACACACACACACACACACACACCCTCAACAAAGGCACCTGGTATGGACTGAAAACCTGCAATGCATGTCCTGACTTGTTTTGCAGAAATCACTGTAAACCAGTGGCTGCCTTTGACAGAGATCTCCACCCTGCAGATCCCCTTCAACTTGCAGACCCAGGATGGTGTTGACTAGTTTTCTAGGCTGATGACTCATCTGGCTAGGTCATTAGTTCTTTAAACAGAACTAAGGCAACACCCTATTCCTCCATCTACACCCAGTATTGTCTGCTTGAGTACATTTTCCGTGCAACTCTGGTTCTCCCCGCCCCCAAACTCCTATCCCTCCCTAAAAAGCATCTAGAGCTTTCTTCCTTGGTAGAGTTCAGCGGGGAAAGAGCCCACGCATAGCAGTGCTTAGCAACCTTATATCAGACGTTCAGCTTGGCTGCTGGTCTTGGCAGCTTGGGAAATAAGATGTTGTGATCTGAGAACTAAATAGTGACCAACGAATTGTTGGGTTTGTACTCTCCCTAAAGAAGGAGAACCCATCTTCTTGCCTCTAGCATGCCCCAGGCGTCTTCTGCAGCGCACAGGAGATGTTGAGGTAGATGGTCTGGCGACATCCTGCACATGGGAGGGCTGGGTGAGTGGGGAGGCAATGCTGCTAAGTGTGTGCTGTCTCTATCTGAAGGAGCATCTCCACCCCCATCGTTCTACCCGGACACTGAGGTCCAGCGCTGAGGGCCTTCTGGCGGTTCCCTCGCTGTGAGAAGCCAAGTTACAGGGAACCAGGCAGAGGGCCTTCTCGGTAGTGGCACCCTCCCTGTGGAACGCCCTCCCACCAGATGTCAAAGAGAAAAACAACTACCTGACATTTAGAAGACACCTGAAGGCAGCCCTATTTAGGGAAGCTTTTAATGTTTGATGTATTACAGTATTTTAATATATATATTTTTTGGAAGCTGCCCAGAGTGGCTGGGGAAGCCCAGCCAGATGGGCGGGGTATAAATAAATTATTATTATTATTATTATTACTGTCGTTCTCCAGAAAAGCTTGAAGAATAAATTGTGGCATGCTTGCATCTAATGATAATCCAAGATGCGCAATGGCTCCTTAAGGTGGTTTCATCCCCTCCCCCCCCCCCCCACTTTCTACCTAGACTGGCGAAGGGACTCGTGAGTCCACAGGATGGTTTGAAGTCACGGTGGCTGGGAAGCTTGTGCATTCCAAAAAGGTGAGTCGTTCTGGGGAGCCCTGCTTGGCAAGGCAATGGAAGGCCAATACTTTTTAAATAAAACTTTTATTCATTTTTTTTTTCATTCATTACATCCATCTCAAATTCTCAACATTACTATGTATTCCTTCCTCTCTCCCCTCCTAGGCTTCCCCCATCTCCCGCTTCTCGTTTGTTTCTCCTTTCACCCACTTTGCTACCTCCTTTTTTTAATAATATTTTTTTTTAATTTTAACATATAAATTGTAAAATGTACCACAAAACTTATCACTTATACAATCTTTTTAGACTTCCATCAGCACCTCTGATGATCTGCCGTTTTAACCACTTCTTATGCATTTCTTAACTTTATATTACCTTTACATCTATTAACAAATCATCCTCCCCCTTGTCCATTTTTACAATACTTCTAATAAGACTCCTCACAAAACTTCTTGCAACCCTACAAACGTCGTCTGTTCTTCAAAAATACTTTTCAAATACTTTGCTACCTCCTAACAGTAAAAGTTACTAATGACATAACATCAAACATAAAAGTAAAAGTAAATACACTGTAATATTTCTTCTACACATTTTCTAATGTGAATGTTTGTTTAAATCCTGCCATCAAGTCTATCGACTGTCTTTGTTTCTGCAAGTATAATGTATAAATGGTTCCCATTATTTTTCAAAGCTGTTGTCTTTTTCTCTTTGTCATTTTTGCCAATTCTGCATAATTCATCAACTTCACTTGCTCTTGTTCTTTAGTTGGTATTTCTCCAGTCTTCCAATTTTGTGCAATCAACATTCTTGCTGCTGTAGTGGCATACAGATGGAAGGCCAATTCTTGAGCACACAGCTATACAAGGTGGTGGGTGGTTGCAGATTATTCTCCCAATGCTGGAAAACACAATTTGGCAACCTTACAAGATTTTGTGTGTGTGTGTCTCTTTCTGAACTCCGGAAGTTTTAGATTATTTGCTGGGGTGGTGTTTTTCTCCCTTCAAGATGGAGGAATTTTCAGAGAGATGTGTGCATGTTTTAAATTTGCTCTGTTAAATACCATCTTGGGGACGCGGGTGGCACTGTGGGTTAAACCACAGAGCCTAGGGCTTGCCGATCAGAAGGTCGGCGGTTCGAATCCCCGCGATGGGGTGAGCTCCCGTTGCTCCGTCCCTGCTCCTGCCAACCTAGCAGTTCAAAAGCACGTCAAAGTGCAAGTAGAAAAATAGGTACCGCTCCGGCGGGAAGGTAAACGGCGTTTCCGTGCGCTGCTCTGGTTCGCCAGAAGCGGCTTAGTCATGCTGGCCACATGACCCGGAAGCTGTACGCGGGCTCCCTCGGCCAGTAAAGCGAGATGAGCGCCGCAACCCCAGTCGGCCAGAACTGGACCTAATGGTCAGGGGTCCCTTTACCTTTAAATACCATCTTAAGCCAATTCATTAGCCTGTAACCCTTCAGGTATTATTGGCCTGCAGCTTAGGGCATTGGCTGGAGCCATGGGAGTCTGGAGCCCAAGCATTTCTGGAGGGCCACGGATCCCGTCTCTGCACTTGCACATGGATGTGGTTGGGGAAGAAATGGACTATCCCTTTTTCTCCCTGGCACAGTAGGAGTTAAAATGTGGGAGGACTCTTGTGGGAGAACAGCTGAAAGGTACAGTCCACACACCTGTTGCATGTGCCTGGGCGTGGTGTGGTACAGTCCAGCCAGAGTGGTACTTAAATGCCCACATAGTCCTTTGTTATTCCCCTCCCCCCCCAAAAAAAAATAACAGAAGCAGGCCAAGTGGAGAGGTTTATCTGTTTTTTTAAATAATTTTTATTGAATAATTTTATGCTACAAAAAACATTACAACCATACTACCACAAAATATAATTGAGACATAAAAATTACATACATCAATATTTTGTTATTTGTTATTTACCGTCTTATTTCCTCCCAAACATTCCGTACAAAACACACACACACACACGGGGGGGGGATTAATAATGATAATAATGAAAATATTTTCCCCCTTGTATCTTACAAAATCTTTTCTTCAATTTTGACTTCCTGTCAAGTCCCACTGCATATGTTTTATCTTACAACTGAATGTACACAAAACAATAAACCTTTCTATATAAATTTTCCAATTAAGTGGAGATGTTTATCTAATCCATATGGTCCTAAAAATTGTATTTATATAAGTTTTTTATTGTTAAATTGCTTTGGGATGCTTCCTGGGAAGGGATTTCTAGATGAAGTGAATGAAGAGTAAAAGAACAAATTATCAAGTAGGCAAGAATGCAGCTTGTCCTATAATAAAATAATAAAAATTTTATTTGTACCCTGCTCATCTTTTCAGCGTATACAAAAACTTAATAAAGCACTAAACATGAAAAACTTCCCTATATGGGGCTTTGGGCAAGTGCAGATCTAAGAGTTCAAAAATGAAAAGGAACTTCTGCGCTGAGAAGCTGAATTCTGCGAGTGGCATAAATAAACTCTACAGTCACATTGTAATGTAGCACCCAAAGACCAGTGTGTACCAACTCTGTGTCCTCATGGCATCGATCTGTCCCTACACCGTAAAGGAACCCTAGGCGGACAATGATCAATCTAGTAGCTTCTGAAACTTTTTTGAGAGGTGGGATGGGGACTTCCTTTTCTGACCTTGCTTTTTCTTTCTGCCAGAATGGAGATGGCTTTGTAGATGATAGTGCCAAGCTGAAGAAGATAATCATGGCCATCAAAGCCGCCTTGGCGTAAGGACGGCTGGAAGAATGCTCCAACAGCTTAATGCTTAGCAGAGGTAAAAAAACAACCTGTAAATATTTCCGCCTGTAATACATGTGCTGTCAAGAGCCTTGGCTCCACGGTGGGGTCTGTACTGGGATCAAACTGCTCTTTCACCCTAGTGCTTGCAATATTGTTCAGTTAGGCAAGGCTTTCTCAAAAACGGTAGCAGTAGGCACACTCCCATTGTGATCAGGTCCCTCTACTGCTGGGCCTGCTTAATACCCTAGCTAGGAGAGTGTATCTACATGATGATGCCAAATTACTTTGTCTGATACAGATTTGAAGCCTACATTTGGCTAGGATGTATCCTTCTAAATGGTTCTATCTTGTCTTGCAAATAGCGTGAACCAAAAACAGCTACGTGAGTCAGTGGCAGCTCAAGATCAAGGGTGACCTTTTGTTTTTGCTGATCAGGATCCTTGGGGCAGAGTTTGGAGATGAGCTCTGGCACGTGTGAAATGTCTCTGAGCATGTGCAGAGTTCTAATCCACACCTAGATATGAGGAATGCGGTCTTTTGTCAGGCTGTATACAGTAGCATCTTCTGCCCTATACGTGCCATGCTTGAAGCATTTAGCATAGCTAGTGGGGTGGTGGGTGGCAGCTTGGGGAAGCAATTGCTCATGTACAAAATCACATAACCGCATTGTCTTTCTCTTTTTTGCTCAGCTCAAAGAAAAATCTGTTTTGTTCACCTTGGCCGAGCGCTTGATGACGGGAGCTGCTGAAACGTCAGCCGACACCTGGCAGTTTCCTGAAAACCCTTGCGTAGGATGCCAGCTTGAGCAAAGCCTGATGGGAGAATTTGAGCTCTGAATAAGATGCACTTTGACACCTGTGTGCCCAGCAACTGCAGTGCCTAACACCTTGGTGTTGTGTATTCAGTGTGTGCTGCACGCGATCTTGGCTTTCTCTGTAGTTCTTCTTTTAATCTGATATACTAATGGTGGAAACTGATTCTAGATCGCAGTGGAGGGTAGGCATCGTAGAGCCCTCTCACCAAACAAACAAACAAACTTGTTCTGGCTTCTTAGATCACGGGGTGCTCTCGGGTGCTTTTGCCTTCTGCGGGTAGGCAACTTAAAATACGCTTACACAGTGCTTACACAACACAGTGGAATCCGATTCTTTTTCCACCAAAAAAAAATACATTTCATTTAATATAGGCCCAAAACATGCAACTTGAGTATTCTTTCTTGTTCCTTTTCCACCCCACTCCCGATTTTCAAGTTGCAAGATGGGGGGAAAAATTGAATCCATTTGGTATCCAATAAAAGACATTTCAAGTTGTAACCTGTGTGGAAACACTTTATTCTCTTGCATATTTGTGCGTAACTACACAAAGTTGAGGCATAGGCTATCTACGTTTTTACACCAATATTTTACCTTTTAATATTTTACCTCCACCCCTTTCGTTGAGCCCGGGCACGGAGATCCAGCACTGAGGGCCTTCTTGGTAGTGGCACCCCCCCGTGAAACACCCTCCCATCAGATGTCAAGGAGATAAGAAACTATACAACTTCTGGAAGACATCTGAAGGCAGCCCTGTATAGGGAAGCTTTTTAAGGTTTAATGTTTTATTATGTTGTTATATATGTTGGAAGCTGCCCAGAGTGGCTGGGGCAACCCAGTCAGATGGGCAGGGTACAAATAATAATATCATTATTTCCAGATTAAGGTCTTAAGCTACCGTAGATCAAAGCTGAGCTTATATGAGTGCCATGGGTGAATGGCTGCCTTGTATTCCATGCCCATTTCATCCTGTGATCGAAGTTTTGTAGTTTGTCTTCTCCCATCCCCTCACAGTGAAAGCGTAACTTCTTGTAGCCTGTATACCCTTTTCTGAAAAGAGATCCAAGTGCAAAAGACTCCTCCAGAAGTTGATTTAGTGACTGCCCAAGACCACCATAGCGTTGTTGGGATGAATAAAACTCTGCAAATAAATACTTTTCTCTCCCCCCCCTTTTAAGGCATGCGTGAAATTTGATTCCAATCTTCATAAATGTGTGACGTCTGCTGTAATCCTCAGAAAAACATTGAATTGTATTTACAAATAGTAATATGACCTCTTTTTCCATAGTTGGAAGAAACATTGAGAAGCATTGTAAGTAAAACCAGGAGTATGGAGTGCTGCTGGAGCAAGAGGGGCTCCAGCTTAAATTATCTAATCTTGTTTGGTATATTGAAGCTTCCCCCTGATTTTGCCAGTGCATGTTTCATCCAAAATATTTTCATTTTAAAGGGCACTAATCAGCTTAATGCACGTTTTGGCTCACAATTTGTACCTATTACAGAATGCTTAAGGGCTAAATCTCAAGTTTAAATACTGAGCAAGAGCTCTTAGGTCCCCGACTGTGATGCTTATGTGAAGCTCTGGTCTGCGGTTGCTATGCCAACAGGATGCCACCACTTGGGTACTAAGTTGCTTACAAAGCAGGAATTAAGTGGTTCCTTCAGAGCTTCGCAAAATGAAATTGCTCTTGGTTTTTGTTTTCATAACAAGAGAGCTGGGAATGGAGTTGAGGAGATGGTGGCTCTCCTCACAGTTATGTAGTTCCATTATGGTATGCTACTGTATGCATATGACTGTGTGCACCCTGCTTCTTAAAAGCAGGGAAAATCCCATTCCTAAATTGCTTAACCAAACTAAAATTCCAGGGAAGCAGGGTACTTGGTTTGAGCACTTTGACTTCCTCACAAAGAAACAGTTTCAAGTGCAGCCCTTTGTAGTGTGCTGGGGCAAGGATAAAACTATTGCCAAGAAGCGTAGGGGAATTGTGGATACCTTTTGTGGACTTTTTTTTAAAAAAAATTATAGTCTAATGAAATTGCAAGCGGGATTTGCAATAAAAGCTGCAGAAGAAAAATGATAATAAACATTTTGCAATAAAGATATAACGCAGTAGAAAAGGTTTGAGTAAAAACACGAGGTGGGGTGGGAAGTCGAATTTATGAAACAATTTAATTGTTATGAAGATTATTGTGAAAATGTTTGAAACATTTAATAAAAAATACACTGGGGGAAAAGAAATGTGGAATCTGGCCCTCCAGGTGCTGTTGAATTCCAGTTCCCATCTGTCCCAGCCAGCATGGCCAATGATTGGAAAAGATGGAAACTGTTGTCCAACAAAATCTGGAATGCTGTAGGTTTGTCACCTCTGGTTTAGTGTTCTCTGTACAGGCATGGCTGCTGTGCAGAAGGCACTGAACTTCAACAGGAAGTCATGGGATGAGCGAATGGCGTGAGGGGGCAGACTTGATAAGGCATGTGGAAAAAATTCTAGGACCCAATAAGACACAGCATGGAAATGGGAAACAAAGCATGGCATTTAGATTTAAAAGAAGTAGCTGTTATGAGAGCGCAACGGACTATAAAGTTCAGGGGCGTTTCAATAGATGTGCACGGTCTTTTCAGTGATCTGTAGAGAGCTGTCTGTCCTAAACTTGAGATGGTGGTCATGGGGGTGAAGGAGCAAGCTGTTACTAGTTATTAAATTTGTATAGCGCCCTTCATCTGTCACTCTCAGGGCAATTCATAATTTAAAATATTGATGCAAACAATCTGTACCAAACATTCTCAGTCCAACGTCAGGAACTCCAAACAAGCAAAAGCAGGAAACTAGTCAGCTTTGTTGCTTATGTAAAGTTCTGTGCTGAAAACAGAGTTGCTGGGCTCATTTAGAATAGTTTGCACTGATCAATAGGGGCTTAAGTGGATATCTTATGAAAATAGTGGCACAATATAATTCCATCCCTTACTACTGCTGCTGTTGCCCCACAGTGGCTTTTGATAGTTTTGGTTTTGCACACCGTTTACAGCTAACATCCACCAGAGATCATCCAAGTATCTGTTACACATTGAGACATTTGGCAGGGGTCCAACATTGCTCCTCTCAACCCGCAAATAAGATGAAAAATATTTGAACCAGACACTGCAAATGTTGAGGCGGAGAACTGCCTTGGGAAGTTGCCAAGTTTTTCTCTCTCGTCTAAAAAAGAATCCTCTACACAGTAGCTAGTCCTTTTTTATAAGTTAATTTCCTTGCTCTGTGTGAAGCGTGCAACAAGTAGCAATAAATTTAAGAAGGATGTTGGCAAGGCGGAACATGTGCAGAGGAGGGGACCAAGATGATCAAGGGTCTGGAAACCAAGCCTTATGAAGAATGGTTGAATGAGCTGGGTATGTTTAGTCCGGGAAAGAGGAGACATGATAGCCATCTATCTCAAAGGCTGTCACATGGAAGAGGGAACAAGCATCTTTTCTGCTGCTCCAGAGGGTAGGGCCCAAATTGATGGATCCAAGTGATAAGGAGATTCCAACTAAACATCAGGGGGGAAACTTTCTGACATTAAGAGCTATTTGACAGTGGAACAGTCTCCCTTAGGTCTTTAAGCAGAGGTTAGATAGCCATTTGTCATGGTTGCTTTAGCAGAGTTTCCTGCATTGCAGGCAGTTGTACTAATGACCCTCAGGGTCCCTTCCAACTTTACAATTCTTTGATTTTATGTGAAAAGATGCAATCTGCTAAATGCCTGTGGATTGCTTGCAAACAGAATAACAAGAATGGAGGGGTCAGTGGGGGGAGCAGAAAGAAAAACAGATGCATTATATTTAGTATTAGCAGCAAGGGTGTAGGGTGGGGGAGCATAATGTAAATTATGTGGCTTGTTCCCACACTCCAGCAACAGTGATCCCACTAGCCTGTAAGAAAAGCTTAACAGAATGCTGTGGTTCAGGGCTAGGGAATTAGCTTTCGCCCTTTCTAAGCTCCAAAGGGCTAGTATCCAGTTCAAAACCTAAGCATTAGATTGCAAGATAGGGGGCTGGGGAATGTCTTTAGAATAGGAAAGGGGGGGAATAGGGTATTTTTCCTCTCCCTCAGAAAAGCTCCACATAGGATAGGGTGGAGTTTTCTAACTTCCTGGTGCATATTCCCCTGATGCCAAAAACTCACCTACAGGGTACTATATAAGCTGCTAGGGGCTTCAGCCCCCTGCTTTCATTCCCTGCCTCCAACTGACAAAAGACCAAGCCAAGAGTGTTCTGCAACACGAGAAGGTCTGGATGTAAACTGAGACAGCCCCATGGTTGTCACAGAAGCTATGAATTCCTGAGCCACTTCAACTGCATGGACCTCTCTGTGGATGTTAATGTCCTGGGCGGCTTTGGGAGGAAGGGAAGAATACAGGTTTAATAAAAAATGTGAATTTCCCCCCGCAATAAACCAAGTCGAGACCAAAAGTGTCTAAGACCCACCGCTCTTCCCCCTCTGCTGTTAGGGAAACTGCTGTCAAAACTATAGAGTCCCATAGTTTTTTGCTTTTTTTTCCAATGATGTGTGTGTGCATTTAATGTAAAGAATCAAGCTGCATTTTCTGTTAATTAAGAGCCTCTTATTTCTGTAGGAATTTCCTCTTTTTATAGTTGCCTGCCAACCCATAAATAAGTGTTTGCTATGTAATTCAGTCCTATGTGTTTTTAAGCAGGTCTAAGTCCCGATGGGACTTACTCCCTAGTATACGCTCTTAGAATTGCAGCCACCCTGCCTATTTTTATCCATGTTCACCTAAAAGCAAATCCAGTAGTTAACAAAGACTAGAACGGACAAAAGATTCAAATGGCCTGCCACTGACCTAAAACCACAAAGTTTGTTCCTGAGGAAACATGATGTCCAATTGCATATGGTAAGTTCACTAGTGTGCAATTTTAGTCTCTCCGCATGGCACACAGAATCCATTTAGTATTCCATGGAATCTGTGGTGAGGATCCTATGGAAATCAAATTATGATTTGAGATCACGGCGATGATTGTGAACAAAAAGTGATCACTTGCTCTTGCTGCAACAAAAAATATTTTAAGTTGCTGTTGACGTGATTCACGTAGGCCCAATTCTGAGCAACTGAAGTTCGCATTCCTTTGATATTATTACAGGTGTGCTGATTTTTTGTTACAAAACTCGTTGAGGCGATTATTTCAGAACCACATGCGAGAGAGACTCAGTTCGACTCGCATGTAAACCGACCATTCTCCTGGAAGACTGGAGCATGGCTTGGCTGGGCGCTGCTCCATTAAAACACATTGCTTTCGGCACAATTTATAGTGTCAATAGTCTGCACCAGAGCAGCTTCTTTCAAACGACGGCTAGATATTTGTGGCGAGGGCAACCGTTGCCGTATGTGAAATGTGGAAGGAAACCCTGGCGTTTCATGGCTTTCTCTTTCTGGGGCTCTCCGTGCGGGAGCAGAGGCGGAGAGGGCCTCGCTGAGGCGTTGGCAAGGCGCGCAAGATGGCTCCCGAGGAGCCTCGTTCACCTCAGCCGACCCGCCGCTTCTTCCAGCCGTTCCCTCCCCCTCCCCCACCCCGCTCCAGCCCCGTTGCATGATGGTTAAATAGCCTGGCCCTGGAACCCGCCATTTTCTGTTGGGGCTGGCGGGAAAAGCGGGAAGGGAGCGGAGAGCAGCGCGAGCGCCGCCGCGGGACGACCAAACGGCACCAACGGCCGCTGAAGCGCGAGGCGTAACAGCTCAGGTAACGAAAACGCCCGGCCGAACCCCGCTCCCCGCGCGCTCTTGTCCTGTTGGGTGAGGGGAGGGAAGTAAAGGGGGGCAACTGGAAACCGAGGTCGTCTGAGGCGATGCCTTCGCTCCTTCATTTCTCTCCCCCCCCACACACGCCAACGCTTAGACGCCAAGTCCCGCCTTCCGTCTGCATCCCGCCGCCTATTGGCTGAAAGAGCGAGGGTGACGGCCGCTTCGCTGATAGGCCCGAAACCCCTGAGGGAGCTCGGGATGGGATTGGTCGGCAGCCGGTGTCAATCGCCGAGGAGCATTTTTTCCGGAGGTTCTGTGCCCTCCCCCTCCCCCTTTTGCTCTCCCGGGTTACAAACCAATTGGCCGGCCGCGCGCTGGCCAGTCGGGAAGAAAGGCTTCTGCGGCCTGCGGGTGGGGGTGGGGGGAGTGCTTTTATGCCACCTGACTCCGGGCAGCCAATAGGAGGAAGCTGTCCCCGCAAAGGCTCCTGGGGCGTGTAGTCCATTTGCGGTGTGGCTCCTAGGTGTTCCCCAGGTGTCCTGGCCATGTAGTCGCCCCAATGCTTCCTGTTCCCAGAGGTCACCGCAGCCCCTCCCCGTGAACAAACAACCCCCCCCCCCGCTTTCCTAATGTTGTTACTGCACGTGCTCCCCACCCTCCAGTACGGGATATGGGGGGATGTGGTTACCATGGCAACTGCCTCTTCTGTTTGCCAGGACCACCTAATGACGACAGGCGGTTCCTTTTCTTTGGCCTTGCTGCTAACTCTGGTTTTTCTAAAGTTAGGTTTTACAGAATCAGCTGTGGAGACTTTGTCCATTTAGAGCGAATGGGGAACTGCCCCACCAACCTCATCCAGGCCAGGGGGTGACTGTTCCACCGCTGATCTGCTCTTATTGTCAGAAAGTTCTTCCTGATGTTTAGCTGAAATCTCCTTTCTTATTTAACTTGAAGCCATTCGTCGGCGTCCTGCCATCCGGAGCAGGAGCTAGCAAGCTTGCTCCATCTTCCATGTGGCAGCCCTTAATATATTTGAAGATGGCTTATAGAATCTCTTCTCAGTCTCCTCTTTTCCAGGATTCCTCATAAGGCTCGGTCTCTAGACGCAGTATGTGTCTAGGATTTTAAAGCCGTTTGTAAGTTGTAATGGAAGGTTTTTGGTTTTTTTTGCTGGGGGTGGTGGTGGTGCGGATATAGTGCAATCCTGAGCAAGTTTACTTAGATGAATTACAGCCTTGATGAATTCCACTTTGAGCCAGGTGCAGGCTATTTTCACTGTGAGCCAGGTGTGGTGCTCTCCCACTGCTGTTCACACAATATTGTTCGTTCTCTCGTTCTCTCTCTCTCTCTCTCTCTCACACACACACACACACACACACACACACACACACACACACACACACTTGAAGGCGAAACAGTTGGTTTGACTAGGTTCTCCACCCCTCAGGTATTTTAGAAAATAAAAAACTATAAATTTGCTTGTGCATTTTGATAGCAGATTTTTTCACCCCAGAGAATGTAGAAGTATAAAAATAATATTGTAGCATTGGTGGTTGTTAAGGTTTTTATGTTTTGTGGTCTTAATTTATATTTGTGAGATTGCTTTACAAATACTGGAGCTAGTTTAGGAAGCTCTTTGAATTCAGCATGTTTGATGTTACTTTTTATTGCTAGCAGTGAAGGTAGAGTTTTGAATCCAGAACAGAACTGAGATATGAACAAGGAAGCATGGCTTCTACAAAACATCCACATTCTCACACCCAGTAATTGTTCATTGTGTAATAATGAGTGCCAGCAATGTTACAGAACCAGATTCTGATTCAGAGCCATTACTGCCATTTGATTAGTTTGATCATACAGTGTTTCCCTCTCCAATACTCCATTCTTGCTAGTTTTTACTCTCTCCCAGAATTAGGAAGCTAGGAAGTGTTGTCTTAAGTTGTTTTTCTGCTGACTTCTCTGACCTTTTCCTACTGGGAAAAGTTACTGCATCTAATAAAGTGAATTCTAACACCATGAAAGTTTCTGCCATAATAATTTTTAAGAGTTGTATCCAAGTAAGTTCCACCCGGAGTAGACCGATTAAAATTCATTATTATTATTATAGTTTATTACCCGCCCTTCACTCTCAGGTACTAGGGCAGGTTACACCAATTAAAACACAATATTAAAAACAATTTGAAACAGCTTGCAATCACATAAATAAGGTACCTAATTAATAATAAACCCATGTTAGTCATATCCATTAATTTCATTGAGTCTACTCTTGAGTATGACTAGCAATGGCTGCAACCATAAGCCTTTAGGGTGCCACAAGATTATTGTTTTGGTGCAGCAGACCTCTGGAAATTAATGCTCTGTATTAAAGTAATTCTCTGTATTAAAATACGGCACATGCATTTCTTGGGCCTTCTGGTTTTTACCGTGTAAGCCTATCTGTGCACTTTCAGAAGTAAGATGGAGTTCCATGAAACTTACTTCCAAGTATAGGATTGCAGTCTTATGTTAGCTGATGCCTGCTTGATTTTTTAAAGGGGGAGGAGCAGAGGGAAAGGTCTGTGGAGCAGCGTGTATGACAAAGGATGAAACGGAGGGAATATATTGTGGAGCTGAGACACACGAAGGAGATACGTTCTTTTATTAGACCCTCTTTTTGCATGTCCCCGTGTATAATGCCAGACACTGCCGACTTAAGTGATTTCTGATCAGAATAAAAACAACTTGCGCTCCCGGAAGGGCTTTTTCTTTCCCTGACTGAAGTAATTAATCTCTGTAGGTGCAGATACAAGTAAACAAGAGTAGTTCACTTCCTACTGTGGTGTCAGTGTAGACAGCAAGAACTACTTTACTGCTAGTGTAAAACTTTATATTTGTCCCGCACTTTCTATGCAAGTGAACTTTAAGGCTCCTGCTCTTTCAACTGTTAAATGCAGATGTGCCTCAGATGAAATGACAAAAAAGTAGATACAGGTAATGCATCATGTAAATATTTTAATTTTAGGACTTTATCAGGTGTTGAAATAAGTTTCCAGAGAAAGTGGGGCTCGGAATGTCATGTGTACATCTGCTAAAGCTTCAGCAGTTCTCTTGATGCTGTCTACTGTGCCGGCTAGATAGCCAAAGTGAATTGGTTCAGGCAGCTGAATAAGGCAACTGAATTGCTTAAAGAAGCTATGCATGAAGACGATGCATCAGGCTTTTGGACAAAATGGAGGAGTCATATATACAGCAGGTGGTTGTTCTGGGGTGCTGCTATGGATAACCCATTAGGTTCCTTCCAAAACCTAGCTTCTGTTATTGACAGCGTTGTGATTTCTGGTTTCGGGGAAGGTTCAATGAAAATCTAGAGGTTCCCCCCCCCTTTTTAATAAATATATTCTATTCGTAGATGTTCTTACCATGAAATGGGGTTTGTAAACTGAGCCCAAGGCCCCAGAGTTGCTAGTGTGTAGTGCCTTACAGTGCAAATTGGACGCAGAGCTATGAGTTTCCCCATAAACTCATCTGTACTCCATTCCCTTAGCAGGTTTCTTGCAGCTTAAGGACCACCCAGGATGGCCCGTACTAAGCAGACTGCCCGTAAATCCACTGGCGGGAAAGCTCCTCGAAAGCAGCTGGCCACCAAAGCCGCCCGGAAAAGTGCACCGTCCACTGGTGGAGTGAAGAAACCTCACCGTTACAGGTATTTGGAACAGGCACTCGATAGCAGCTCAGTTTTTTGGCCAGCACAGGGTGGGGAGCACAGAGAAGCCAGGCAACTGCTCTCAAGCCTACAATCTGGTCAGCCCCTAGCCTCAAGTAAAAGTGCTCTCCAAAGTTGTCATGGTGCTGGGTATTTGGGAAGGAGGGGTGGCTGCTCAGTTTCTGTACCCTGTTTCCCTCCATCCTCATGACTTCTGGCTGTGTTAGCAAGGTTGGAGGGAGATGACTACTATTTCCCTATACAGTGGTACCTCTGGTTGCGAACGAGATCCGTTCCGGAGGCCCGTTCACAACATGAAAAGAACGCAACCCGCAGCGGCACGTTTGCACACATGCGGGTTGCGATTCGCCTCTTCTGCACATGCGCGTGATGTCATTTTGTGCAGCGACGCGAGCGGCAAAACCCAGAAGTAACCCTTTCCGGTACTTCTGGGTTGCCGCGGGACGCAACCTGAAAAAACCTAACATGAAGCAAACATAACATGCGGTATGACTGTAATTTCTCCCAGGCCTGGCACTGTGGCACTGCGAGAGATCCGGCGGTACCAGAAATCCACAGAATTGCTGATCCGCAAGTTGCCATTCCAGCGTCTGGTTCGTGAAATCGCTCAGGACTTCAAGACAGACCTGCGGTTCCAGAGTGCTGCCATCGGAGCTCTGCAGGTTTGTGCCTCGTCTCCTTGTTGCCTCGCCCTTCCTCCTCCTGAAGACTATGCCTGGTTCCAGAGGGCTGCTCCTTTCTGGGAGTTTAAAGGCCAAAAAGAAACCCTGCTTGCTTTTTGCAGCACAGACTGTGTCATGTGCCCTCAGACTGTTCTCTTGAGCTGCTTGATATTTCATGAAACTCTCCCTCTGACACTTCTGCTGTTGTCACCTTCTAAATTCATAAGCTGCATCTAGCATCCATTGGACATGTTAGATGTGAGCTGGAGACCTGTGCCTGAGCAGAGTTGTTGTGGGGGGGGGGGTGTTGTGCTGCTGTTGGAGAGGTGCTTTCTGCCTTTATTGCAGCTCCGTTGATAAAGAGGGGATGGGAAACCTGTGCTGATTCAGATGCTATTGGACTCCCAGCTCCCATCAGCTGCAGCCAGCATGGCCAAGGATGATGGGAGTTGTAGTTCAGCAACATCTAGGGAGCCACAGCTTCCCCGCCACTGTCGAAACTATTAGATGGGCTGAGGCAGGCTGGGAGAAGAGAAATGAGGAGCTGTCACACCCTCCCTTCCAGTCTTCCACCTCCTCCTCCTTTGGAGGTCATGCTTGTTCTGGCAGCGACCATCTGTGCTCGAAAGTAAGGGAGGAACAGCTGCTGCCATAGCAAGCGAGGTCCTCCCACTTCTTTAAAAAGAAGGTAAGTGTCGCTGTCAAAAGATGAAACCGAGATAAGAGTGTGGCAGCATCTTCTCCTCCTGGGAGCTTGGGGTGTGAATAAGATGTTGTCGATATTTCTCTCCTGCTCCATCTGGCGATGCTCCCTTCTCCACGATTCCAGAAATTCCAAGGGAATTGAATTGCGTGTATCCCTTCAGCAGGCAGGTAATGTATGCGATCGGCCTTCTGTTGCGTGCAAGACGAAGAGCTAGCATTTTGAAATCCATCAGTTTGTCAACACACAGATAATCTGTTGCAAAACCTTGCTGCTTGTGTTTTGTATCTGCCCCCCCCCCCCGCGCTTGTGCATTTCAAAACTGCTCCCTGCAAAGCAGTTCCATTATTTTAACTTGAATTTCCTTGTCTCAATAGGAAGCCAGCGAGGCGTATCTTGTGGGTCTGTTTGAGGACACCAACCTGTGTGCCATCCATGCCAAGCGGGTCACCATCATGCCAAAAGACATACAGCTGGCTCGCCGCATCCGTGGCGAAAGGGCTTAAGTTCTCCTCCCCTCCCCCTTCTAACATTTATGCCCCTCCCCAGGCAGCCCCACCCCTGCTTGTGCAGTGTACTTAGAATACACTCCAGGTTTTATTTCCCCCCCTCCCTTCCTACTCCTGTTTGTAGTGGCTAGGACACGTGAGAAAATGTTAGATAATCTATTGTAGTACCTCTCCAAGATCGGGAGACTTGATTCCTATTCATCATGTACAAGCAAAAAAAAAAATCCTTTGAAACCTGTAAGACTTCTGGATGTTGTTTTTTTGTATTTTTTTTTCAGAATTGCAAAAAAATAATAAAAACCCAACAGGGGACACTTTTGAAATACCTGGTTTTGTACACACAACTTTAAGTAGATAATAGGCGTTTCAATGATAAAGAGCTTTTGGTCTTCGGTCTGTAAAATATCTGCAAAGAACACTACACTCTTTTTTCTTTGGTTAGTCTTTTTTATTTTTGTCTAGGCAAGGAGTGCTTTCTAAATCCCACCCCCCTTATTTTCCATGTGTCTTGTGTCTGTGACTCTGACCTTTGTACCAATAGGGACTACTCATCTTGAGGCAGTAAAGAAAAAATAATAAATGTTGAATGACAACATATTTGCTTCCTTAATTTTTGCTTAATGGTGGTTTGTGGAAGACCTTGCCAGATCCCACTTTCACACAAAGCGAGACAACCCTGTGGTTTGCAGTGCTGCTGGAAATTTTAGAAAGCCAAAAAGTATGGGTTGCCAGTAATATTCATACAGCACCTCTTTGGGTGTACAGAGCACTTCGCGTACCTTGTCTTGGTAATCTCTTTGTAGGATAGGCCATTATTACTGTATACAGGTAAGTGACGTGGGTGGCACTGTGGGTTAAACCACAGAGCCTAGGACTTGCCGATCAGAAGGTCGGCGGTTTGAATCCCCGCGACAGGGTGAGCCCCCGTCACTCGGTCCCTGCTCCTGCCAACCTAGCAGTTCGAAAGCACGTCAAAGTGCAAGTAGATCAATAGGTACCGCTCCGGCGGGAAGGTAAACTGCGTTTCCGTGTGCCTCATCTCGCTTTATTGGCCAAGGGAGCTGGCATAGTCATGCTGGCCACATGACCAGCTGTACGCCGGCTCCCTCGGCCAATAAAGCGAGATGAGCGCTGCAAACCCAGAGTCGGTCATGACTGGACCTAATGGTCAGGGGTCCCTTTACCTTTACCGTATACAGTGGTACCTCGGTTTAAGAACAGCCCTGTTTACGAACTATTCAGTTTACGAACTCCACAAAAACAGAAGTAGCGTTCCAGTTAGCGAACTTTACCTCGGTCTAAGAACGGAAGCCAAATGGTGGAAGGGTACCAGCGGCAGGAGGCCTCATTAGGGAAAGCGCACCTCAGTTTAAGAATGGTTTCGATTTAAGAACGGACTTCTGGAACGGATTAAGTTCGTAAACCGAGGTACCACTGTACTTGTATTGCAGGCCTGAGGCTAAGGGAAGAGTGGCTTGCCTAAGTCTATCCAGTGCATTCGTAGCAGTGGTGACATTTGAACCATGAACGCTTGGCTCATAGCTTCAACACCATCCTAACCAAGCCTAGTGAGAAGCAAGTCCTACTGCGTGTCGTGGGGCTTACTCCCAGGCAAACGGGGTTAGGATTGCAGCCTCAGTCCCTTACTCTAGTGCTCTCTGCAAATGTGACATCTTGTTTTATACAACTGGATGTTTGGAGATAACAGCGTTGAATTAACTTGGCACGTGGAAGTTTGGGAACCCTTGACACCTATCAAAAAGAGTAATTTAGGAAGCGAACCTTTTCCTGGCATGAAGATCATGGTTGGTGGGGGGGAAATAACTGTTCAGCTGCTGTTACAGGCCCAGTTCTAATGACATTAGAAAAAGTTGATAAATATATCCTGAATACAAACCTACCTCGTGTTTGGAGTTAAATTGCAGTCTAAAGTCAATTCATTAAAATCCTTTTGATTGAGTTAACCTTACTTAACAGAAACTAATCAATTGGCATAAGATTGGGGGGGGGCACTTTGCTACCCTGATACGTCTGTGTATCCCGGGGTAGAAGGATGTCGTAAATCAAGCTGTGTGTGTTGAATCAGAAGAGAAGGGCATTTTAACCTGTTTCCCTTGATCTACAGAATCATAGAATTGTAGAGCAGGAAGGGACCCTGTGGTCATCTAGTCCAACCCCCTGTGAGGCAGGAAACTCAGCTCAAGCATCCATGACAGATGGCCATCCAACCTTTGCTTAAAATCCTCCAAGGAAGGTTTGTTTGGGAAAATGGCATGAGACTTTTTTTTTTTTACTCCATTGGGTGTGATTAAAAAGAACTCCCTAATGGCAAAGATGAATAGGTTTTTTTGTAATATTTTTTGTCTCGGGTGCTTCTTCTTTAACAAATAAAAGCTCTAGTGTAAACAGTGGCAGAAATGCCAGGACATTGTTTATGACTGTGAAGTTGACAATGTATTTGAAGAACTATGTAGTATGTCTACTGTGTAAACTCTGCAATGAAAAGCAGACCTGCGTGGTTTCACCTGCGTCCTGGAAGATGCTTTTAACAAGGTGAGTGTCCCTGGTTAATCGAGCAGCAGGTTTTTGTAGAAACCAGCCATTCGATTAGTTGAAGTATTCATTTTAAAATAATTATATGCCACTCTCCATCTGAATGACACAGGAGCAGGTCACAAAACGCAGTCAGATAAAATCCTGCCCATGAGAAGAAGTGTATATTCCAAGCTTGCTAATAAAGCCTACGGAAACAGGCCTTAAACAGGTGACTAAGATGTATCACAATTTGCACCTGCCTTATTTCTGAAGGGCAGCGGCACTACCCCATGTATCCTGACTCATCTAATGGCACCACCATCAGGAGACCTTCCAGCAATCTTAATGAACAAGCAGGTCTCCTCCTTTCCCTGGAGGGGAAGGGAGGGAGAGAGGCGAAGACATCATCAGGACTTGCTTTGGTCAGAACGTTCCCAAAACCAGGGCCTGAGGACACCATTCTGCCGGGCAAGAAGGAGGGCATGGATTTGTTTCTTCACGTCTTGGGGTTGCTCTCTGCCAGGGAGTGGGTGGGAGAATGGCAAAGCTGTGAACCACCTTTGGTGCTGTCAGGGAACTGCCATCAGTGCCGGAGGGAGAGAGCAAGATCCAGAGGGATTCCAGAGAGCGTGCCGGGATTGGGAGAGGCAGCCCATCTTCTGGGGAAGAGAATCAGCGTAGCACCAGTGGAGAAGGGGGGCAGATGGGGTCCCATGACTCCTTGCTGGGGACCAGCGGGGAGAGTAGGGGTCCTCCGCTGCCTACGCCCTCCTTGCGCAGAAGGCTTTCGTGCAGAGAGAGTAGGAGGAGACTAGGCGTCAAAGAGCTTCTTTGCTGGAAGAAGTTTAAGAAACGCCCACTGACGGATTCTGCTAGCGATTGAGACAGCCACAGGTGAGTGGCTGTCCAGACAGAAAAGGTTCACTCAGGCAACCCAGCCAGGTGTTTGCACCGGCTTACGCACGAGCAACCCCTAGAACCACTACAGGTGCCTTGGCAATAAGACAACGTGTTAAATGAATAAGGGAACGCGGGTGGCGCTGTGGTCTAAACCACAGAGCCTAGGGCTTGCCAATCAGAAGGTCGGCGGTTCGAATCCCCGCAACAGGGTGAGCTCCCGTTGTTCGGTCCCTGCTCCTGCCAACCTAGCAGTTCGAAAGCACCTCAAAGTGCAAGTAGATAAATAGGTACTGCTCCAGCGGGAAGGTAAACTGTGTTTCCATGCTTCTCTGGTTCACCAGAAGTGGCTTAGTCCTGCTGGCCACATAACCTGGAAGCTGTCTGCGGAAAAACACCCGCTCCCTCGGCCTATAGAGCGAGATGAGCGTGCAACCCCAGAATCGTCCACGACTGGACCTAACGGTCAGGGGTACCTTTACCTTTAAAGTGAATAAATAAATATAAGGGGAAATGCCTTCCTTCGCAAAAGCGAGCTGCAGGATGGACTGGAGAGCCTTGGGTCTAGAAGCCAAATACAGCCTTTCTGGCTTCTGCCAATGCTGCACTGAGCTTTCTCCACCCCCTTGAGTGTTTACGGCTGGATGGATTGTGTCCTTCAACTGTGTTAACGCCTCTTGCCTGCTTTCAAGGAGAGAGGTGTGTGTCCACATACGTTTCACTTAAGCGTGGGGTTTAAAGGTGGCCTACTGTACAAAGGAAAGACCCTCACTTTCGACACTCGTGCTTCATGATCTCCTGCCTAGATTTGGTAGCTGGAGGGTGCCATCCTGTGCTTATTCTCTCTACTTGTGGCAGATTGCTGTGAGTTCAAGAGGCAGATGTGGATGGCGGGAGGAAGAAGCTGTCTGGAAAGTACCGTGCATACAGCCCAAACCATCCTAGATTTTTATCTTCAAACCAGCACTTTGAATTGTGCCTGGAACGTAATACACATTCTAGTGCAGCCTTCCTCAAGCTTAGGTCCCCTGTATGATGTTGTGACTACAACTCCCATCAGCCCTGCTGGCTAGGAATGATGGGAGTTGTAGTCCAACAACATCCAGGAACCCAAGGCTGAGAAGACCGCTATAGTAGCTCACCCTGAGAAACTGGTGAGCTTTCCACTAAATTCCTGAGAAATTCTCCCTGCTTGGCATTTTTTAAACGAGTCGCCCTATATCCACAAGCTTCTAATTGTCCTTTGTCTGGATGCAATTAATGTGCAGTTCCTCCACTCCATGGGCTACAGGTGGGTGATCAGCTGCCGGCCCCCAGCCTCGCTTTATGTGGCCCCTGACACCTCAAGCAGCCCCCACTTCATCAGAGTTCCCTCTCTCCTGCTAATTTCCTCTTTGTTTTTCTTGGCTTTAAAATATGTCCCTGCTGTCATCAGCCCATGCAGTTTCAGAGCAGTATCCTAGTTCTTCCTGGTTGTACAGTTTGGAGACCAAAGTCTTCCCTGTCGGCTATCTGTGAACAAATCGGTAGGCTTCTGTAAGGTAAAGGTAAAGGGACCCCTGACC